TGTGAGGTAGATGAAGGCAATCTGTCCGGATGCAACCGGTCAAGTTTAGTAGTAAGTTGACGCCCCCAACGAAGTTCAGCTAGGCTTCTCCCTGTAGAAGTGGACGGTGTGGTACGATAAGAAAGGAGAAAGTCAGCCAACCTGTGATGCCAGTCCCCGTAGGTGAGTCTTTTCAAGGCGTCCTTTGTGATGCGCACCATACGTTCAGCCATACCGTTGGTGGACGGGTGGAAGGGTGCAGACGTGGCATGACGAATCATGTTTGCCTGTAAGAAAGCTTGGAATTCGGAGGAAGTGAATTGAGGGCCGTTGTCAGACACAATGACATCTGGAAGCCCGTGTGCAGCAAAAATCCCCTTCAGTACCTGAATAGTCTTTGCAGTGGTGGTGGATGAGACAGGTACAACCTCAAGCCATTTTGAATGGCTGTCAACAAGGACCAAGAAGAACTGGCCCTGAAAGGGCCCAGCGTAGTCAATGTGCACCCTAAACCATGGGGACTGTGTTTCCTCCCATCTATGCACGGGAGCTTGGGGCATCTCTGGGCGAGATCGTTGGCACAGGTGGCATGCATGCACCTTAGCCTCAATATCTTTATCTAAACCAGGCCACCACAAGTGTCTGCGCGCAAGAGCCTTCATACGAACAATGCCAGGATGACCCTCGTGGAGGGATTCTAAGACCCTAGTCCTCATTGAGGTGGGAATGACAACTCTGTTTCCCCAAAGCAGACAACCCTGAGAAAGGGACAGCTCGGTCCTTTTGGACCAGAAACTCTGAAACTCAGGACTAGGGCAGTGCTCAGGCCAACCAGACAAAACCCAGGAACGGACACGTGAAAGTGTGTAATCTGTACCTGTTTCAGCGGTAACATCCCTGGCACTAAGAGGGAGCTCGGGCAAGGCTTGGATTTATAGAATGTTGACAGCTGGCGCAGGGTCAGCTTCTACTACTGGCAGAGGCAATCTACTGAGGCCATCAGCATGGCCCATTTCTTTCCCAGGCTTGTGGAGTAAAGAAAAATCATATGCAGACAAAAAAATAGACCACCTAAGGTTTCTGGGGGAAATGATCTGGGGAGTCTGCTTACGTGTGGTAAACAGTCCCAGCAGAGGCTTATGGTCAGTGAAGACCGTGAAATGCCTGCCATATAGAAAATCATGGAATTTTTTAATTCCAGCAAAAACAGCCAGAGCCTCCCTGTCTATCTGAGCGTAGTTGCGCTCAGCAGAAGACAATGTTCTGGAGTAATATGCAACTGGAACCTGAGTTCCATCAGACCTGAGGTGGCTCAGGACAGCTCCAACCCCGTAAGGGGACGCATCACAAGCGATGCACACAGGAAGGGACTCGTTGAAAGGTGCAAGTACACTGTTAGAAGTGAGCAAAGCCTTGACTTTGTTAAAACAACCCTCATGCGTTTGTGACCACTGCCACACTGCTTGTTTGTCTAGTAGCCTGTGAAGAGGTTCAGCTACACTAGCTTTATGTGGAAGGAAGGAATTGTAGAAATTCAGGAGGCCTAAGAAGGCCTGAAGTTCGGCCTTGGACTTTGGCCTAGGTGCTTCTAAAATAGCAGTTAGTTTGGATTCAGCAGGGTGAATCCCAGCAGCATCAATTTTGAACCCCAGAAATTCAGTAGAAGGCACCCCAATCTTGCAGTTGTCTTTTTTGAGCTTGAGGCCTGATTTCCTGAATCTTAACAGAACAGCCCTGAGCCTTTCAGCTAGAATGTGTGTGGAGTCTCCTGCAATCAAGACATCATCAAAGTAGGGGCAAACCCCTGGTATACCTCGTAGTGTGTTTTCCATTACGCTTTGGAAAATCCCAGGAGCGACATTCACTCCAAACTGTAGCCTTTTTACCTTGAAGGCCCCTCTGTGGGTCACAATAGTCTGAGCTGTAGCAGCATCATCATCAACAGGCAGCTGTTGATACGCTTGAGCTAGGTCAAGCTTTGCAAAAACGCGCCCCCCCTTGAGGGAGGCCAGAATATGACTGACCACAGGAACAGGATAGGCATGTTGCTGCAATGCCTTATTCAGAGTGCATTTGTAGTCAGCACAAATGCGAATGTCCCCATTTGCCTTTAGAGGCGTGACAATGGGGATCTCCCAAGGACTGGAATCAACAGGTTCTAGAATTCCCTGTTGGATCAGTTTGTCTAACTCAGTGTCAATTTTACTCTTTAAAGCAAAAGGGACCCTTCTTGCTTTAATTCTAATGGGAGTGACAGTGGGGTCTAGCTTTAAGGACACAGGGGGTCCGTTGAATGTGCCCAGCTGGGGGCTGAAAACATCTGCAAATTCTTTGCAGACTTCCTGTAGGTCGAGTGTTTGTAAACTGTTGAGTCCTGTGACGTGTATCCCCAGGGCCTCAAACCAATCGAGTCCTATGAGACTCGTTCGTTCACCCCCTACTACTAATATGTCTAGTGGACCTTCAAAACTCTTGTATTGCACGTTAAGGGTGGCCTCCCCCTTAACACACACTCTTGAATTTTGAAAATCTGTTAACACAATGTCAGAAGGCCTTAACTTGACCTGAGTTCCACTACCGGAACAAATCTTCCTAAATGTATGCAAGGAGATGATTGAAAGGGCAGACCCTGTGTCTAGGTCCATAGTTAATGGAACCCCTTGTAGCTTCACCTTGAGTGACAGCTTTTTCTTAATGGGCTTGTGTGTGCCTGTCCTAAGGATGCTTCTTCGCGAAGCGCAAAACCCTACCCTATTCTGGCTGGGGAATCTGGTACCTTTCAGGCGCAGTTCTTCCTGAGGTTGTACCTGTCGTCGGCCCAGACACACAGCTGCAATGTGTCCTTGTTTGCCGCATGCCCGGCAGGTAGCGGAGCGGAACTTGCAGTCGGTTCTCCTGTGGCGACCTCCACAGCCGATGCACTTGAGTGGAGCTGAAGAGCTTCCCTTCTGATTTCCTTCCTTCGTGGGGTGGAGACGGTCGACTTCCTCGTCCGGGTCCTCCTCGGAGTTCCCCTGGACGTCTTCCTGGTGCACGGATGCAACCTCTGGACTGTTTCTGATCGGCCGCATGTTCTTGACGGCGCCGCCTGCTGCTTCTTCTGCGGTGACTTCTCTTAAGGCATCTTGGAAGGACAATTCTTCTTTAGCGAAAAGTCTCTGTTGTAGATCTCGATGCCTTAACCCGCACACGAATCGGTCCCTCAGTCATTCTTCGAGGTCCTTGAACTCGCAGTGCTTGGCGGCCTTCCTCAATGCGGCGATGTATTCTTTGGCCGACTCTCCGGATCGTTGATCCCTCTGCTCAATGGTGTGGCGCCATGCGATGACGGACATCTTGGGCTGGAAGTGCTCCTTCAGTAGCTTCTTCAGATCTGCGTAGCTGACAGACTCTACTGGAACAGGTGCTGAAAGGTTTTCTGCGATGTCGAAGGCGTCTTGACCGCAAACACAAAGCAGGGTGGCAGCCTTCAAGCTCTCTTCCCTCACTTGGTGTGCCTTGAAGTAGTTCTCCACCCTGGCTACGTAGGACTCCACCGCTCTGGATGTGAGACGTCGAACTCCGAAAGCCTTCCAACCTTTGCCATCTTCAGGAGATGGGTCTATCAGCCAGCCTACCCCCGAATGCGCACTGGATTGGCGAGTAGCTGCCGAGTCGACACCGTTCCGCGGCTCAGGACTCACTTGGGTAAGCTTACACTTCTTGCTTTCCAGGCGATGTAAGGCATCCCACCTTCGTCGCCAGTGTTGAGTCCTTCGCGGAAATGTAAGACACGAGAAGCAGTTGTAGTTCTCAGTTTTCTTTATTATGCGTTCAGCTTACAAGTAGATGGCTTCAGCAGCTCCCAAAACCTCCCAGCTTCTTATATAGACATTTCCCGGGTCAATGCGATACTTTTCCCGCGCCAGCACCTGCGCATGCGCACGGCGCTGGCGACAGCCTGTCTGGTCCCGGGCAGCTTTGCACCTGCCCGGGACCGCCTGCAAACGCCCTGAGCCGTTTGCAAGGCTCGGGACATAACACTTGTGCCCATTGAAAATTCACTCTCTTCAAGGAAGCAGCTCTTTCTAGAAGGACATTAGATTTACAGACAGATTTAAAGAAGCATGTAAATGAAGTGACAGGTATCCATACAAAGGCAGACTATTCTTATGCTACCAAAATTGCTGCCCCTTTGGCAGGCAGTAATCTGGAGATTCTCCAATAGCTTTGTCCATACATCATGTTTAATCATGGTTTCTTGAAGGAAGCACATCTGATTGGAATCACACAGTATTTTATTTTTTCTGTTTTTTCCGGGTGAGAGAACGATGCAAATGGGGTAGTCCACATCATGCGCAAAGATAACGGTATGCTGAAAATGTATAACAACTGGCTCTGCCAGTTCCATTGCCAATATTGCACTATTCCTCACCCAAAAGACATCTCTTTTTCTTCTTTTCACTTGACCTTCTTAACAGTCTCCTAAACTTCCTGAAGGGAAGATAACAAGAGAGATTCACCACAAAGCCCTCATATTTCTATGAAAACACAAAGATGAGACATCTATCCTTTTATCCATTACTCATTACTCATAAGGTAACGCCTGTCTGGAGTTGGAGTCATCTGACTGGGACATTTGACTTCCCAGGTTGAACTGAATGACTTGAATTGTATTTTAGAATTTTATCCCTGTTGTTGTTTGATAACGAAGACCAGGAAGTTTTATGTTTAATGCAGTCTTTGTTACCTGTAAGTGAAATGGCCAAAAATATGAAAAGTAGTCTACACTGGGGCTGACTTGCGGTCAAATAAACAATTCCTTCGCTGGTATGTGAGACAAATAAAATTATAGTTTAGAACACCTGGTCTTGTAGATATTTATTTGGCTACATAATCTAAAAAATGTGATGAGCTTAAAAAAAGTGTGGAAACCAAAAATACTCACAAACAACATGTCATAAAGCAGAATAAAATGTTTCATTAATATATTAACATCTCCATTTTTATTTTCTTTTAATTCATGTTTCTACATAATGAAGATTTTGTGTGGATCAGACTATAGACTGCCTTCTTCAAATATTCAAATCAAAGTCCAAATTGAGGTGAGAAATATATATATATATATATATATATATATATATATATATATATATATATATATATATATATATATATATAAAAGTATATTGCAGTAGGAGTGAAGGGGATCCGGGTTGTAAAAGATTAATCTAAATCAGACCTGATGGTAGATTTTTTAAAAAATTTTGTTTGTGTCATGTTCATGTTAAGTGGTCTGAAGTTTTAATTTTACATTAAAAGGTACCAAAAGGTATAAAACAAATTGAAAATGCCTTGATCATGTCTTTCCTTTTTGCCTAATCATTCCTACTGAGTTGAGCTCAAATTTTTGTAAAGTTCCTTCATAGCACATAATGGCACTAAATTTTAGTCTTCCTCTTAGCTAAGCATACGTAGCCGAGGTGGCGCAGCAGTTAGAGTGCAGTACTGCAGGCCACTTTAGCTGACTGTGTTCAGCAGGTCAGCAGTTCAAATCTCACCGGCTCAAGGTTGACTCAGCCTTCCATCCTTCCGGGTTATATATATATATATATAGAGAGAGAGAGAGCTTACTGGTGTACACTGCTTAGAGAGTGCTCGCACTTAAAGCGGTATATAAGTCTCATAAATAAATAAATAAATAAATAAATAAATAAATAAATACGGTATGTTCTAGCAGCTCCTATTGCCATCAAAGCCCCATCATTATGCCATTTCCTGAATTGGGAGGCACTGGAAGATTTACCAGTCCCTTTAAAGGTAATGGAGATTCTGCCCTTCAATGAAAATCTTCCCTGTTTTATCCCTTCATACAATCCCATCCTGCTACTCTCTGTCTTTACAATAAGATTTGTTGGTTTTAAGAAAGGGAAGATAGGGAACGACCCTCAGTCTCAGTTTTTCCAAATTTTCTTGGAAAGTTTTTGAGCTCAGAAAATAATTATGAAGGGATTGAAGAAAGTTTGCTCTTCCCTAAACAGGATTTCCTATTTGATAATTTCATTTTCACTCCTGAAGCCCAAGCAAACAGACCTCAGAACGACTAAAACTCTTGTTGTTAATGACCTTTAGCTGAGTTAAACGATGCATCACAGGGCAACAGTTTTTGAACCAAGGTACCTCAAATGGGCTAATTTATAGGATGTGTCAAAATCCGGGACCTATGACTCCTGTGGGAATGAAATTTAGGAAAGTTGTGGCTGCTTCAATGCTACTAGCTGCTGTGTTGCTGAGCTGCTGCTGCAATCACATAATCTTCATTTTCAATGTTCTGTGACAATTTCCCAGCCAGTCTCACAATTCCTTACTTCTTCTCCCACACAGCAGCATCCACTTCCCTGCCTGCTGGAAAGGAAAGGGAAGAGAAAGGGGAAGGGAAGGAGGAAGGAATCCTCTACATATGCCTTCCCTAATCCACACAGCACTTTTTACACACTCCTTCCTGGCCCATGCCACCTGCTCTGCACCTTCTCTCCTCCACACAGCACTGCTTGTGCACCCCCCAGGGTCCTCACACCCTTCTTGACATGCAGTGTCCCCCACATGCTCTACTCAGCCCAGCTTCCTACTGGCTTCCTCACTGGCTCTGTCCCTGCAAGCTTCCCACAAGCACAGTAAATGGCAAAGCTGGCAGGAATTTTAAGGAGGGAAGGAAAGAAAAAAGATAATGACAGAATGAGAGGGAGAGGAAGAAGGAAGGGGAAGGAAGGGAAGAAAGGGATGGAGGGAGGGAGGAAGGAAGGAAAGAAAAGGAAGAAAAGAAAGAAAAAAGAAAGGAAGGAAGGAAGGAGGAGGGAGGGAGAGAGGGAGAGAGGGAAGAACAGAAGGGTAGGAGGGAGGGAAAAAAGAATGGGGAGGGGGAGAGGGAAGTAAGGAGGAGGGAGAGGGAAGGAAGATAGGTAGGTAGAAAGTGGGAAGTAGGTGGGAAGGAAGGAAGGAAGAAAGAAAGAGAAAAAAGAAAGAAAGAAGAAAGAAGAAAGAAAGAAAGAAAGAAGGAAGGAAAGAAAGAAAGAAAGAAAGAAAGAAAGAAAGAAAGAAAGAAAGAAAGAAAGAAAGAAAGAAAGAAAGAAAGAAAGAAAGATTTCTGATGACTTGGACTCTGCCAGCTTCCCACAAGCAAACTAAATGGGGAAGCCATCGGGAAGTTAGAAGTCACTCCCACTCCTACTGCTCTTTGCCTATTAGTGATCATTCTGTTTCTCTGTAAAGAAGTACCTCCGAAATGATGATCCAATGGGGCAGGGGTTGTCTAGTAGTTCATAATTCTTTGTATATGTTTTATAGATAGAAGACCACTGACAGAAAGTGTAACTTGAACTTGGGCTATTACATAAGCAATAGTAACAATTCAAATACTGGATTGTAAACTGATACGATGGGATTTCTCCAAGTTTTTCTCTCCCAAAAGACATGGAGAGTCCTATAACCAGCTAAAGGAGCTCTCACGATTTCATGGTACCCTAAAATCCAATTTAGTCCTTTTCTCTTTCTTGCTGGTGGCAAGACTGCAGCTGAGTGGCTTTGCGCAGTCAGTCACCCATCTTCTTATTTATCAGAATCACTCAACAGCATTAAAAAGCTGAAGGCATTTGGCTGGCTGTCATGAAAACCATTTCGGCTATGTTGCTTTTTATTATGGCCAACCTTTGTTATCCCGTTTGCTGTTAGTCTCATGGAGGATTGTTTACAAGGCCAGTTTCGAGTAGAATTTACTTTACAAGTGAAAGATGTCTGTTGCAAACAGACTCTGTAATTAAACCAGATTTGTTTCTTGCTCAGTTCCATTACAGATTATATTAGTTGGTTCTGGAAGAAGCAATAATTGCAGTGTAAATATTGCAAACCTTTCAAAAGTGAGTTTAGCTTTTTTTCCCCAGCAACCATGACAAAAGGAGGTTTCAAGGTACTGCAAGGAATATATTCCCTAGCTCTGTTTTTTTTTTTTTTTTGTTCATGAGAGTAGGGGATAGGTTGTCGTGCCAAGAGTTCTGTAAATATAAAACTAGAATTAGACTGTTAGCAATTTACAAAGCGTCAAAACTTACCTGAGAAGGATACTGCATTTAAAACAGAAGAATCCTGCTATATTGTTTGTCTGTTTGTAATCTTCAAACATGGGCATTTAAAAAATGCAGAGTTTCCCCCCATGGTATGTAATTTAAGGCCTACAGTTATCCACATAGCTCTGGAGCTTACATTACAATTCTGGTTCTGGGGAAAATCTGGTAAACGTTTGGCATGCCGAAGCACCATTTAGATGAATGGGATTTACACTCTTCGTAAGCGCTTAGGTCCCCTTACTTTTAATGAGTCTTTTGTTTTCCTTCCTGTAGCTTGCTTTCAAACCATTTAAATAATCATGAGCACCTCCTTTGTCTTTCGGTGTTCTGTGTAGATTGAGGAAAAGAACCATGAATGGTGACCAGATCGTCAGTTATACAGGTAATCCTTGACTTACAACAGTTCACTTAGTGACCATTTGAAGTTACAATGGCACTGAAAAAAGTGACTTATGACCTTTTTCACACTTACGACCACTGCAGCAGCCCCATAGTCACATGATCAGAATTCAAACGCTTGGCAACTGACTCATATTTATGACGGTTGCAGTGTCCTGGGGGGGGTTGTGTGATCCCCTTTTGTGACCTTCTGACAAGCAAAGTCAATGGGGGAAGCCAGATTCACTTGGCAACCATTTTACTAACAACTGCAGTGATTCACTTAACAACTGTGGCAAGACAGGTCGTAAAATGGGGCCAAAGTCACTTAACAACTGTCTTGTTTAGTGACAGAAATTTTGGGCTTAATTGTGGCCGTACGTTGAGGACTACCTATATATCGGACAGAAAGCAAAGAAAAAAATGGCCATTAACTTCTGTATGGTAAATCAGACACTATCTCAGATGAACCTTTTTTGTTCCCTATGGAGGGTTTTATTCTCTCTCTTGGGGAGCCAAATGACAATTGGTGTGAGGGACTAAAGTAAGCGATATGTAGGGCCAGAGTCAGAAGTAATAGTGCCATCCATTCTCTTTCATTTAGAAATCCTTTTGTTCCATTTTTCTTTCTGAAATCTTCTTCTCTTATTCTTTCTCCTCTTCCAGGGCTGTAGGCCATGGGAAAAGAGTGATTTCTCTTCCAGGAGATCACAGCTGTTTTCATTTAGGCTGTGGGCCATAGGTGAGTTTAAAACTACATGATGGATTTTTGTGCACCAACAGTGACTAGGCTGAATTGCTGTGGATAGGGAAGGTAGATTTTCCTGGCCAAATATATCAAAACTCTTTTTTTTTTAAAGAGGTCGAATCGATGGCCAAGCCTGTGTTCTCTTATTGTGATATGAGTCACACGGTCAACTCCCAATTTTAGGGCTACCAGATAGGGCTGCAAAAGCCCAGGTGACAAATTTTGCAGCAGTAAAGAAATGCAGAGAAGAATGATATCCTTCTTATTATCTAGGCATCATCCTGATTTTTGCAGCTCACTAAGGTAGCCTTATCTTGTCCAGAAGATGGTTTATAATTTCAAAATCCATACATGTGGCTTCCAGCTTTCCTCACCTTGGGAGACCTTGTATGTAGCAATAGCAATAATGACTCATATGGTGCTCCATAATGCTTTACAGCACTCTCTGAGCAGTTTACATTGTCAGCACATTGCCCCCAATATTCTGGGTCCTCATTTTACTGAAATTTGTATGATGGAAGTCTGAGTCAACCTTGAGCCAGTCAGGATCGAACTCCTGGCTGTGGGCAGAGATAGCAGTTCTTCCCTCTGTTCATAATTTCAAATTACCCATTGCAACTTTTTCTCTTTCTGCTGGATCCTGTCCCCCACCTAAACAAGGCTTATATTGGTCCCACTCTCTGAAGCTCACTGACACTTCCTTTTTCTTGATAACTATCTTTTTACCTCACATTCACTTAGCTCAACTTTTGGCTCGGCACGATCCATTCCACAGCCAAATATCTAAACTGGAGAATGGTTTACAGCAACTTCTAAATGCCTTGTTTCATTGGCTATGTGTCAGCCAACGTAGAGTTTCCTTCACAAAAGCTTCATGTGTTCTCCGTACATGTGCGCACAGTCTTGCCATCCTAAAAATAAAAATAAAAGACTATTGGGTATTTTAAGAAGAGAAGGAGAAATGGTAACAGTGCACATAATAACGAATCCTCCACTACCTAGAATTTGCCTCTAATGAAGCTAGAAATGTTGGCTCTGTGCGGTTACCACATTTTATTCATGACATGCTTAGGACACAGCTGCATAATAAATATATCTGGAGAATGAACAATTAGGCTCTGTATGAATGTGTGTAATATGGGAAGGGAGAAAGGCTAGGTATGTGGGCGGGTGGCCTTGTGGGACAATGCATACCAGGGCAGCTTTGAGTGACGTCAACTGTTCAGAGCCATGGATCTCATCCACTGATATTTGCTATTCCTTCACTAGGAATAGTAAAAAGGGGGAAAAAATTAGAGGTATGGCTGGAATTTTTTTGGCCAACTTGACAAATAGAACAAGATACATGGATAAAGTTCATCTGGGTACAAAATAAGGATTTAATCCCTTTCAGAGGCTCTCCTACCTGGCAGATGGTAGAAAATGAAAAAAGCCATTATAAGTTATTAAATCAGCAGTGAAAGTGCAGAAGAATAAACCACATATTGCATTCGGCATTGGGGGTGGTGGTGGAATGTCTCATTGTTTGTACGGATGGATGCATTTGAAGGATGTACGTTCTCAGGATCAGGGCTTTTGTATCTCAGGAGGTGGCTGTTCCATACGGAAGGCACCGTGACAGGAAAAAAAAAAAACATGCTTCTTAGGATTCACCAAATGACACTAGAACAGTGATATAACCTGCAACCTTTCTGCCTGATCTGGTGGAATGGATAGGAACCATCAGGGAAAGGTGGTCCTGTAAGTATGCAGCCCCATGACAGGTATGGTTTTAAAGGTAACAATCAGCATCTTGAATTGCACACAAAAACCTACTGGGTGGAATAGGACAACTTGCCAGGGACAATTTGCCATGGCCAACTTGCCATAGCCAACTCACTGCAGGACAACTCACCATGGCCAACTCATCACAGGACAATTCACTGTGGGACAATTCAACAGTGCAATTTACTTATTTAACATCATTTAAAAACTATTTTAATTTTTGTCGTTCACACTTCATTTTGTCCCTCCTTTGGCATCCTTTCTTAAATGATTCTATTCCACTATTCCTTCAATATTAGTGTAACTCTTGCCCCAAGGTGAGTTGGCCATGGCGAGTTGTCCTATAGCAAGTTGGCTGTGGTGAATGGGCCACAGCGAGTTGGCCATAGCAAGTACAGCTCATGAAGCAGCTGTTGGCATGCTACGAAGCCCCCAATAATGCATGGGCCACCACATTCTGGATCAGCTGAATCTTCCAAATGCCCTTCAAGGGGACCCCCATGGAGAATGTACAAAATTAGTCCAATCCGGAAGTGAACAAGGCCTAAGTGATCTTAAGGAATGTCTCCTGGTTTAAGAACTAGTGCATAAGATGTAATTGTGAAAAGTATTCTCTGGCCATGATTGTCACCTGCTTCTGAAACAGGAGTCATGAGTTCAGGAGGTCCTCCAGATTGTGCACCAACTCTGCTTGGGGGTGGAGTATTACCCCATCCAGAGTCAATGATGGAAATCACAAGATGCAGGAGATCCTAAGTGTCACAGCCACTTAATTTTGGCAGCACTGAGCTGAAACTAATTCTTCTCTTCTGAGACCCCAGAACTTAAGGGAAAGCACTTCAATGGCATTATTTGAGCAGCATGGGGCACAGATACACATCTCAGTATCATTGACACATTTAACCCAGTATCGGCTTACACAGTGGTTTCAGGTAAGTAGTAAATAGAGGTCAAGAAAGAGATATAGCATCCCACAAAGCAGGACCCTAAGGCTAGATCTTCCCTTCTTATCAATAATTAATGGAACCAGCTTTGAGAGAAGACACACCAAAAGCCGGTTTCCTGCACAATTGGAGGCCAACTCTCAGTAAATGCAACCACTGTATTTGACAGGGGTTCAGAGTAATCCTTAGAGTGGCTTGCCCCCTCCTTATCAGAAGGGCCCAAATTACATGAAATAGGTGGTCAGGAAACTATTCACAGACAAGAATAGGTGACAAATAAATATGTTTTGCTACCCTTATTGCCACAAGATAGACCTTGGCGCAGGCTCTAAACCAGGAGTCTTCAAACTTGGCCCTTTTACGACTTGTGGACTTCAACTTCCAGAATTCCTCAGTCAGGAATTTTGGCTGAGGAATTCTGGGAGTTGAAGTCCACAAGTCATAAAAAGGCCAAGTTTGAAGATCCCTGCTCTAAACTGTGCTTGGTTGGGGTTGTTCTTCATCTGCCTTCACCAGTACTTTAGGTATCTCATATATGGTTTCAATTCCTAGAGTTCTTCCTAGGGCAGCCCAGAATCCATGCACATAGAAATTCCATATGGGTGCAATTTGATCCAAGGCTGTAAATGAATAAATCTATAAATCTACATGCCATATAAAATTTATCAGAATAATACAATTTAAAATTGCATAATCCTAGATCTTACTTTAAGACTAAGATAATGAGGTGGCTCCTGGCTATCATAGTCTTGGCTCATAACATTACTATAAGATAGTTAGCTAGTCTTGGGCTCATGGTCTGGTGTAAACCCTGGGAATTATGTTAATTCAATCAGTTATGACTGGATGAACCATGAGTTTATATGACCAACAGTGATCATGGGTTTAGGGATGGAGTTGGCAAGATGGCAGAGAGAAGACTGCCATGCTAGCTTTGTAGATCACATACAAGAAGAGCAGTGCTTATATCACTCTGGTTTATCTGCTGTCCTGCAATGTTGACATCCTGGTTTCAACAAATACCACTGTACATGACTGTAGATCAGCCTTTGTCAACTGGAGTTCTGCAAGAGATCACCAGGGATTCTGTAACATCATAACTGAAAAAAGTAAGCATTATTTTGTGGACTTTGTGCACTGTGCCATGCTAGTACTCTCACTGGTGAGAATATTTATGCACCACAACTTAGCTTACTGATCATACAAATGTACCACGAGCTGTAGATATAATAATTTTGAAGTTTGAGAAAACCTGCCATAGATGAACTGCCTGAGCCTTCCATGTGAGCATTTTTGTCCAGGAAGTACTAAAATGAACTCTCAATATGAACATTCATGTAATAAATCTTTCAGATGCTGCTTATCTTAAAATTTTATATGTCAGTCAGTTTCCACCTCTAGTTATTTTTCTCTTTTAGGAGGAGGAAAGTGTTGGTCCTCCAAATTTTGCTAAATTATAATTCCCATTAGCCTCCAAAAAACTATTAGTGAAGGAAACTCGGAGTTAAAAGAATATCATCTGGAGCCCAGTTTTTGTCTAATGTTACTGATGGAGGCAAGGTTACACCTCAATTTCCAAAAGATTAACCTGCTTTCAAAATTTGGGAATAGGGAAAGTGAAGGAGAGTGCAGAGGTGGAAAAAGTAAAGTGAAGTCTGTTGCATCAAAAATCTTCTGTTCACACAACCTAATATATGATCTTCCAGTTTTAGTCATCATAATATGAAAAAAAGACATTGAGACTCTAGAAAGAGTGCTGAAAGACCAATAAAGATGATAAGTGGATTGGAGGATAAACATATGAAGAACGGTTGCAGGAATTGGGTATGTCTAGTTTAATGAAGAGAAGGACTAGGGGTGACATGATAGCAGTGTTCCAATTTCTAAGGGGCTGCCACAAAGAAGAGGGGTTCAACCTATTCTTCAAACATCTGAAGGTAGGACAAGAAGCAATGGATAGAAGCTAATCAGGGAGAGAAGCAACCTGAAATTAAGGAGAAGTTTCCTAACAGTGAGGACAATTAACCAGTGGAACAGCTTGCCTTCAGAAGTTGTGGGTGCTCCAAAACTGGAGGTTTTTTAGAAGAGAATGGACAATCATTTGCTGGAAATGGTATAGCATTTCCTGACTGAGCAGAGGGTTGGACTAGAAGACAAGGTCCCTTCCAAATCTGTTATTCTGTTATTCTTCATGTATGGAGTGGGAATGTGCTGGCATCAGCATAAAAGGTGACCTTTCCAACAGGTGAGATCTTCACCTGTGGATTGCTTGCACTTGCTGATGTGAACATTTGGGGAAATAGGTATGGGTTGGGTTTGAGACCCATGGGAAAGAGAGCTTTTCTGAAGAATGACTGTGAACATTTGACTCATAATAATAATCCTCCGGAGCTTTATGGGTTCTGAATGTGGAATGTTTGGGTTAAAATGGACTAATTCCCCCAATTTTATTTGACAGGGTTTGCCAAGCCCAATTTCTAATGAAGTCAAAGAAAGTTTAGCTTCCACCAGTTCTCTTGATTTTCGTTTGCCTTGATTTAATCAAAGCATAATCAGCAGGGGAAAAAAATAAATTCAGTTAGAATGTGATTCTTGATGCAGAGTATGGTATGCTTAATTCTGCTATTCTTCCTTCCTCTCTGGCATATAGATCCAATTTCTCATTCCAATTAGCCTAAGGTAACCTGTTATGTTGGAATGGGCACTGGAGCAACTGGTTGCTGTTCTTGGTAAAAACCACTGAGTCAGGGGTTAGCCTTGAGGTGCAGTTAACCTTGCTGAATACTCTTTTCATTGAATACAGATTCTCCTGCGCAGGAATGGAACCAGAATCGGTGATTCAGTTCTTCCACCCTTTAAAATGCCAAGCGTGACTACATTCCTCTATCACAGAGATGGTACAGTGATTACTGTAGCGCATCATTTATCCAAACAGCCTGGAGGACCATTGGAATAATCAGAAGCTCAGATAAACAGCAGTGCTCTTTACAAGGATTTGCCATGAGTCAGGCATCTACCCGGTGTAGAGAAACAGAGAAGGGATTGCAGGCATCCTCCTGTAAAACATCAAAACAAAGGAAGCACACAATATGCTCTAAATTTCACCCTGCCTTTTAAAATGAATTGAAATGATTACTTCCTGGGGTATGTGTGTTTTACATTGCCTAGTATGAAATATTTGATATCATAACGAATTTAGAAACCTTCTAATTGATTCCTGTAACAGATTTGCATGTGCATTTTTCCGACCCTTGATGATGGCGGCTGGTTTTTGAAGTGTCGTGGGACTAACTGGTAACTTTGTTTATGTATTTTATCTGTGATTAACTCGTTTCACTTTGTTTTAGGACCCAGGATAAAAAAGCCTGGTTGGTCACAAGGATGTTTCACCTGTAATGTGCAAGGTGGATTAGCATAGTGCAGTGCTCTATATCAAGGGTCTTCAAACTTGGCCCTTTTATGACTTGTGGACTTCAACTCCCAGAGTTTCCTCAGCCAGTGTGCCTGGCTGAGGAATTCTGGGAGTTAAAGTCCACAAGTCATAAAAGGGCCAAGTTTGAAGACCCTTGCTCTATATGATCCAGGAAGATATGAATGGGAGTATAGAATAGACCTAGGAGCCCTGATTATATCTTATGACTGCTATCCTACTGTTTCCAAAGCTTTTACCTCTCAAGATGTTGACCTAGAAGTGGGCAGATCTAGATTCAAGTCCACCTTCAGCCACAGAAACTCCATGGGTGATTTGGGGCTAGCTACTCTTTCTCTCAGCCCAATTTTTTTCAGAGGGTTTTGTTGGGGGGGGGGGGGAAATAGGAGGAGGTAGTTGTGAGGACGCTGTCTTAAACTTTTGAATGAAAGCTGGGATATAATCCAATGAAAAACTAAATACAGGTAGTCCTCAACTTACAACAGTTCATTAGTGACTGTTTGAAATTACAACAGCACTGAAAAAAGTAACCATTTTCCACTCTTATGACCGTTGTAGCATCCCCATGGTCATGGGATTTACATTCAGATACTTGACAACTGATTCATATTTATGACGGTTGCAGTGGCCCCGGGGTCATGTGATCATCTTTTGCGACCTTCTGACAAGCAAAGTCAATGGGGAAGCCCAATTCACTTAACAACCGAGTTACTAACTTAACAACTGCATTGATTCACTTAACAACGGTGGCAAGAAAAGTCACAGTAAAATGGGGCAAATCTCACTTAACGAATTTCTCACTTAGCAACATAAATTCTGGGCTCAATTTTTGGTCGTAAGTCCAGGGCTACCTGTAACTGAGGGAACTGATAGTAAAAATGGAAGGGATTACAAAAGAGGCCAGTCAAAGACAAGATGACGAGATGAATAGATGCTACCAGAGATGAGGCAAGCCTAAGTTTGAGGCAAGGACTCAAAGCAGCAATTCCTGGCAGATTCCTGGTGAAATGAGGTCCATCAGTCCATGAATCTGTTGCCACAATGGTCTGTTTGCACTGTGAGGCCAGCTTCCAGGCTTTGAGTCATCTCAGATAAGTAAGTGGCAACAGCTTTTTCTACTGCGGAATATGGTTTGTGAATGTTTGTCCTCAGGTTGGGGATATTGGGAGCTCTCAGTCAACAATCTTCTCATTTTCCTAGCCTCTACCATGAGATGAGGAATTTAATTCTTGCTTCCATTCAGTTGTTGTTCATATTCATTGAATGTTACCTGACTGAGAATGAAGTATAAAAATCTAATAAAATAAACGATATGCTTGTGTATAAATCAGAAATGAAAAGATTTGTTTTTTCTTCTCTTGCTCAGTACAGACCCACAGAATCCAGATTCTAAGGCTTTGAAGAAGCCCTAAACCTCTGAAGTACAGACATGAAATTCAGTACAATCAGGATATTTGGCTGCAATCATGAGGCTATCTACTTAGAAGTATTTTCTTTGGGAGATTTTGGCCTTTTAAGAGTCAACATGGCCATCTCCTTGTATGAATAACATTGCTGTAAACTGAATAATCTAACTGCCGGCAAAGCATGGTGTGACCCAGTTGTTAAACCATCCAAAGAGAAAGCCACATATTTTTTTAATATACTTCTTCAGTTTGTTGGGTTAGCTCACATAGTGATATATAACATTTGGAAGAAAGCTGTATTTAATCTCCTTGTCTCAGAAGTAAATGCTTCTAGGTTCCAACGCTACTAAGAACAGTCCTTAATTGTTGCAATGTGGACCACTTTTCTGAACCATAATCTTCTAAATCTAGATGAATGCTGCTTTGCTGTTGATGGAACAACACCCTTCTATTCACCCCCATCCATTTCTTCTATCTGCAAAGGCTTTCTTCCATCCCTAACAAAGGGGATACCTGCTGCACATAGGGCAGTGATGGCGAACCTTTTAGAGAACGAGTACCCAAATTGCAACTCAAAACCCACTTATTTATCGCTGGATGCCAGGTGGGCATGGCCCACTGGGTGGGTGTGGCTGTGGTGGTCATGGCAGATTGGGTGGGTGTGGCCAAGGTGGGCATGGTCAACTTGATGTTGCTTGTGGGGAGGGATACCTGTGGGGGCTGGGCACGATTGGGGGAGATCCAGGGGGTCTCTGGTAGGTGGGGCAGTGGGCAGGAGGCTTGTCCTGCGGGGTGAGGCGAGGCAAGGTGGGGGTGCCATTGTCACAGGGCAAGGTGAGACGGGCAGGGGTGGATGCGGCCTGACACCATCAGCCCCTGCACACAGAGGCCAGCGAGTGTGTGGGTGCTGGGATGCATCTGGCCATGTGGGACCTCAGTGAGTTAGCAGGCGGCTGGTTGAAGAGGGATGGTTTCCATCTCTGGGGCATGGTGCGTGTGTCCACAGAGAGGGCTCTGAGTGCCGCCTCTGGCACGCGTGCCATAGGTTCGCCACCACTGACATAGGGAGTAATGAGTAGATTGCATAATCAAAGTATATTGCAGTTTAGTACTCTGAACTTACTAGAAGCTAAATTTATGCTGTTGGTGTCCAACAGACTACAGTTTCAGCTGCTCTCTGTACTTTCAGCAATTTTTTACAGATCCATACATTCTGAGAGATAATTCCCCTTATTGTCCGAGAAACTGCTCTAGGATTTAATCGGCAATTTTGCTGCTTCTAAGGATGCAGCCTCTGAGTTTCAGTGTATTCCTCATTTATATGGCAAGGCTCCAATTGCATTATCAACATCAAGTCCTTTCAGTAGCATCAGTTCTGGTAACTTGACTTGGGAGCATATGGAAAGTTTTTGGTGTCTTTGATGAATGATTTCTGTTGCGTGATTATTTATAAGCATGAGCATTTGCTAACCTTTGCTCAGGAATGTTGATGAATATCGACACAACTTTTAAATTTATGTAATAAAGGCTCATAATGCACATTCATCTCTGTACTGTGGAAAGCACAGTTAAGAAAAACCAAAGTGTGGATCACACAAAGCAGATGCCTTTGCCCTATCACATCTTGGGCAATTCTTCTATTTTTTTCTTTTCTTTTCTCCCCCCCCCCCAAGAGATCTTGGTGCACATTTAAAAGCAATAGCCTGCCAGATTTGCTTTAAAAGTGTAGCCAAGTTTGATATTCCAGAAGCATAAAGAATAATAGAATGCTCTTTCTCTTTATTTTCCCCAATCATTTTTGTACCTTTCGCATACTGTAATAGTTTACTGTTGGATCTGCATAAATATTGTATTTAGAGGTACTCCATCAATTTCTTTAATTTCCAGCTAGCGGCTAAGATTTAGTGGTAAATATGCTGGTTATTTTGCTTCACGTGCAATTTAATTGCTTCGGTTGAACAGGACTTCTTGAGACTGCTGAGAGAGGACATATTTCCTTCCCACATCGTGACTCTGTTTCTATTCAAATAGCTGTTTAACCTTGCTCTTTATGCACTGCGAGGTAACATTTTGTCACATAAAGTAATATAGTAATCATTATTTTCTTCTGTGGTGCAGCTTTACGAGATGAAAAAGTCTGAAAGCAGAGTTGGTCCCCTGTGCTTTTAATACAGTTTTAAGCAACCAGGTAAATAACATTTTATACAGCCATAACAATCCCAACTACTTGCCAGAAAGGTATACCTTTATTGAATTAAGACTGCAGTTCTGAGCATACTTAAATGGGGAGAACTCTCTGTGAACTCAGTTAAGTCTTAATTCTGAGTAGATACGCAGAGGAGCACATTGTTATTTGATTAGGGAGGGAGAGAAAAGACTGTTGCAAAATAACCTCTATTCCCAGAAAGAAGTAAAGTGGAAATTCATCAGAAGTAAATTTGTAGGTGTACATCATGTAAGTTTTTTAGGGTTATTAAGACAGAGAAAAAGTGAATTAGATCAGCAAATAAAGAAATATTAAAGTGCTTTATACTGAATTGGAAAGAGAATGAGACAGAACTTTTCTACAATATTTAATAAAGAACACAATCATCCTAGCTGGTTACCTTTTAAGTATGTGATGCCCTTCCTTCCTTCCTTCCTTCCTTCCTTCCTTCCTTCCTTCCTTCCTTCCTTCCTTCCTTCCTTCCTTCCTTCCTTCCTTCCCTCCCCCCTCCCTATCCCCCCTCCCTATCCCCCCTCCCTATCCCCCTATCCCCCTCCCTCTCCCTCCCCCTCTCTTTCTTTCTTTCTTTCTTTCTTTCTTTCTTTCTTTCTTTCTTTCTTTCTTTCTTTCTTTCTTTCTCTTCACTTCAGTGAACTGTATTTTATTTATTCAGCATTCAGCTCCTGGCCAGCTTAACCAATCAGGGAGGCTTTAAGGGCCCAGGACTAGCCATGGTGCTGAGCTCCAAATGTGATTCCAGCCCTGACAGGAGGATTATAGGAAACAGATGACTTGCGCTTCTAATTTGTGGCCTTAAATTGCAAACAGAATTTCAGGAGTCGAGCAGAGTAATAAATGGCAATAGAGAAAGCCACACACAGCCAAATCAGTATGTGGTGCTTGTAGGTTAAACTAAATAGGAAGAGACAGGTTATGATGGTTTAGTGTATTACAGAGAAGAAAGTCTTAAATTACTAGTGCTGAGAGGTATTGCACGATGGCAGACAGTATTCCATTGTAGACCCTGCAGATAACAGGGGCAGAGTAATTAAAAAAAAAATCAGATCTAGGAAGCAACCTGTTGCTGGACAAATCTTTCTTCCTCCTCTATCCCAGCCCTCCCCTGTTGGCTTTGACCTTAACTGTATGCTGTCCTGGCCCCCTTAGCACATCTGTTTTCTACTGTTGCAACCTTTCATATCAAATTAACTGCCAGGAAAAAGGCAGATTATATTATTATTATTATTATTATTATTATTATTATTATTATTATTATTATTATTATTATTATTATTATTGATCATTGCACAGTTAGCCAGATGTTCAGACTGGATTTGGCACTTTTGTCTACCTATTGAGTCCTTCCCAAGGACCTGGG